AGTCTTTAGCTCAGTTCAGCTTATTTCACTGCACTTTCCTCAGGGGGAAGCATATTTTTAAAAAGACTGGTGTTCCTTCTTTAGGTCACACTCTATCACACCACCTCTTTACTCATTCATTCTTCTCCCTACCCATCTATTTACCCTTCCATCTACCCATTGATCCATCCAACCATCCATTCATCCACTCATCCACCTACTTATCCATTCTTTCATCTGCCCTTCCATACGTGGATCCACATCCATCCATTGATCTTCCTATCCATCCATTTATTTATTCATCTTTCTATCCATCCATTGACTCATCCATCCATCCATTCATCCATCCAACATTTGAGGTCCTTCTTTGTTTTTACTCTTATTTTACTCTTATAAAAAGCAAAGTTTTCATTAAACAGGGATAGCAATGAGAGTAATATCTGCAATTTCTTCTCATTTACCATAGATTTTCCCTGATGACAACGAAGCAAAGTAATATCCTCTAATTCTTCCTGTCAAATGAAATAAAGTACTTGGGAGGCTGACAACAAAAGGATCAGGAAAAGACCTAGTTAATACGAGTTCTTTCCTTCCTAAGTACATTAGAAGTACAATAATTATGGTTATGTTGTTGGATCACTTGAGATGAAAAGGGCACACTTCCAATTAATTCATGTGAGTAACAAGTTCAAATAATTAGAAATATATTCCTAATGGAGTCTTGGAACTTTTTGGAAGAGCTAATTTAACCACCTAGGTGTTTTCTCGGGCTGCCATTCAGAGTTGAGATTCACTTATCATCATGATTGTACTCTGTTTTGGGCTCCAGACCAATATCAATGATGCAGGTGCCCTAACATATTGAGACCCTGTAAAGTGATGTGATTCCAAGTAGGTAAGAACAAAACTTCAAAAATCAGACAGAACAGAGTGAAACAAAATATGAATCAATTATCAACTTTGATATATCAAAGAGAAGGAAAAATCCTAAACATGCCAAAGAAAATAAAACATTTGAAATTTCTAAATAAAAAAATAAAATGAAACTTTAATAGTTCTGCTAAAAATTATAAAAATTTGCCCTAACAGGCTGTATGTTTTATGAAATTACTTTCACCAAGTTTCCCAATCACCAATGACTTCTTTATCAATGAACGCAATGAGCCATGGTTCTCAAACTTTATCATGCTTTAGAATTATCTGGAAAGCCGGTTAAAACACAGATTGCTGGGTTCTGTCCTGAGAGTTTGAGTTTCAGTGGGTTTGGGGTGGAGCCCAAGAATCTGCATTTTTAACAAGTTCCTGGGTGCTGCTGGTCCGGGGACCCCACTTGGAGAAGAAACACAATAGACCATGTCTAGGCCTCAGCCTCCTCCACTTCTCAGCTGTGGATGTCGTTCCCTCCCCTCTGCTCCTTTTTAGTCTCCTGGTGTTCCTTGGGATTTTATCCTGGGCTGTGGCTCCTTCGCTGACACCTCACTGAGCCATCTCATTCCCTTCCGTCACTACTTAGACCTAGTGTCCCAGACTTTAGCTCCCACCCACGAGCTTCACAAGAGCAGAGTTTTCATCGTCCTGGTCATGACTGCATCCCAAGTGACAGGGCACACCTGGCATAGGGAATGTGCTCACTCAGTGTTGGTTACAACTTCCTACCTGAATGCTTCCCACATGGACCAGCAACTGAAACTAAATATGTTCAGAAAGAAACATATCAAAGGAAGATGTCATATACGCTAGATTCTCTTCCCATATTCCCCATGGTACCATCCTCCATCCATTTTGTAAGACCAAAGAAATCTAAGGGCCATCCTTGAATCCTCCTCACCTATCAAACACCAGGTTGTGTTAATTTTACCTTCTAGTTGTCTTTCAAGTTCATTCCTTTCTCCCCATTCCCACTGCCACGGCTGAGTCTGGCCACCGTCTCTCACTTGAATGCTCACGGGGCCTCCCACCCTTTCCTGTAGTCCCCTCACCGTGCAGTGGCCAGCGTCCTCAGGGCAGGGCCGCCATGCCCACCAGACAGCCTGTCCGGGTGCGCCTGCCCTGAGACGCCAGCCCAGCCCTCAGCTCAGCCTTAGAGTCCCTCTGAAAGGGTCCCGCAGCCTCTCCAGCTGTGTCTCCCACTCTTCCTCCCAGCCCTACACGCTTAACCATCTTCAACTTCGCCTTGTTCTTCAAAGGCTCCACACTCTTACTTCTCAGCCACGACTCGAGATGTTCCTTCCACCCGGAATACACTTTCCTTTTCCTCCTGCCACATGTTTTAGCTGGGTAACTTCTACTCATTTTTCAGTTTCCCACCTAAAAATTCACATCCTCCAAGAAGCCTTCCCTTTTCCCTCCAAACGAAACAAAATGGGGTTTGAACGTCCTCACCGGGCTCCTCTAACCCTCCACCTGCGCACAGGGGACGGCCCTGCTTGTGGAGTCACTTGCCTCATGCCAGTTCAGGGGCCAGTTGCATGTCTACACAGCGCTGGGCCTGGGGCCCCCCCGGCTCAGTCACAAATGCTGAAGGAATATGCCAACCAGATTTAATGGGATGAAATTTAAAAGAATTTATCTAGAAATTATTTGTCTGTGTTGATAGAAGTCAAGTATTGGTTATGGGTGAGTGGATACTGACTGGGGAGAGCGTGAGGGGACACTGTGGGACTAGGGAAACATTCTGTACCTTGTTGTGAGTGGAGGTGTATACGAGTAAAAATCCATCAGGTTGTACACTGAAGGGTTGTGCGTTTTTATGTATATAAATCCTATCTCAATAACATGAATGAATTATTTTTAAATAAGAGTATAATTCACATGGGGATATAAAAATGTAAATGGACCAAAACAATTCACGTGGGATATAACAACAGAACTCAATAACAACGTGCTGTGGTCTGAATGTTTGTGACCCTCCAAAATCCATATGTTGAAACCCATCCCCCAGTGCAGCAGTATTAAGTGGTGGGGCCTGCAGGAGGGGATTAGCTCGTGGTGGCCCACCGTATGAACGGGATTAGTGCTCTTAGAGGTGTGAGGGGCGTTGTCTGTCCCTTGTCCCACATGAGGGCACAAAGAAAGCACCACCTATGAAGCAGAGAGCCGACCCTCACGAGACTGAATCTTCTAGTGCATTGATCCTGGACTCCCCAGATGCCAGAACTGTGGGCAATACATTTCTCTCGTCCATAATCACCCAGTCTAAGGTATTTTGTTATAGTAGTCCGCACAGACTTAGACATAACTAAAGACATCAAATGTCCTTAAGATGCTAATTACTTCCCAAGGATCTGGAATTAAAAGCATAGTGGAGTACCTTTTTAAGTCTTCGTTCTAAAAATGTGATTATTTTAGACCGACTATGCCTTATTTAAATCTGAGGCCCTGAAACATTTTCAGAAGAAGAAATGATCTCAAAGTCATTCTCCACAGAATTACATGTACTATTTTAAAAACCTCATTTCACAAATTAGAGAGGTTTGAGTTAATGACGGGCAATTACACTTCAGCATTTGAGAAATCTTAAACTACGGTAATGACAACTGCAGCTCAGCTTGGTTCACATTATTTTTAATATTACCACGTTTCCTTCTTGCACGGTAGAAAGAGAAGACAGAGCAAACCACACCACGTGGGGACTCCACGGCACTATTAAAAGGCAGTCCTGCTAATAGAACTTTTGGGGAAGACTATTTTCCAAATATGTCAAGAAATGTAGGATTGTCTAGTTGTCTTCTTAGATTAGAACACAAAATATGAAAAGTTCAAGATTCATTTTCTAATGAATGGGGGAAAGGTGGGAGGGGTTAGGAGCTTGTTTTCTGTAAGTTTTACTTCTCATAAGAAGGTCCCAGGGCCCTCTCACACTGGGCTTCCTAACAGTCTGGAGGGCCCTGCTGCTGTGTGCTTGTCCTATCTGGCTAGCAGTCCCTTGGGCCGGGTAAAAGCCAGTTTTAAAACACAGCAATTAAAACATTCTTCAGGTAGGGTGAAAGACACCCAGGAGTTCTACACAGCCACTGGCACTGAAAGGGCACTTTCCATTGCCTTCAGCTCACTTGGGAGATTTTCTTAGGAAAGTACCTGTTTTACTGCTATTCTTGGTATTATTTTGGCCAAAATTTCACTTTCCTTATGTTTCTATTTGCTACTGGTATTCTGATACTCAAAAATCAAAGAAGATAAAGTTTTAAAACTCCCTAATTATCAATCTAGTGAAGATATTACTTTATCATCATCATCATCACTACCAAGTGAGAGAATATATACACTGTGTGTATACACACACACACACACACACATATATATCTATATATATATATACCTTCCAGTACCAGGATTAGAAAACCTGAAGGCAACCTAGCCATCTCAGTCAACTATTGAGGAATGAGGTGTCACTGTGCCCCTTTTCATGATGGGAACACTGAGGTCGCTAACTGCAAACGGGAAAATAAATATCCCACGGCAGATGTACGCATTCCTAATTTGGCACACTCCGTTGGTTTTTCAAAGTATTACCCAGTGAAAAGGAAATGATCTGATAAAGTTGGCACTGCACAGGGGAATGAGATGGGAGGTGAGGTTGGGGGAGCTGTCGTGGGCGACGGTCAGTGATGGTGATGGTGATGGTGGTGATGGTGATGATGGTGGCGGTGGCGCTCGGCCGGCTCCTCTCCCGTTTCTCCATCACTGCCCGTCCTCTCTGCCTCCTCCGTCCCCGCGTGGCCTCTGCCCGGAGAAACACAGCCGACAGGATTTGCACCCAAGGCGCACGTCCGCGGGCGCAAGGCTGCGGCGGCCCGCCAACCGGCACCCTTCCCCGAACCCCGCAGCCCGGCGGGCCCGGCGCGCCTCTCTGCACCCGCGCCCGGCCCGCGGCAGCCCCGCTCCGCGCTCCCCGCGCCGGCACCGCCCGAGCCCCGGCGGCGCGCAGCGGGAGGTCCGGCCGGCCCGCGTCCCTGCAGGGAGCGCCCGCGCCCGGCCCGCGCCCCGCCGAGCCCCCCGCAGCCCGGCCGCCGGTCACTTACGCTGCGCTGGGCCCGGCGCGCCCGGCGGCCCGACACAAAGGCTGCACGGCCGCGGCGCCGCCGGCTGCTCCCCAAGCCGCAGCTGCCGGGGACCGGGAGGAGGAGGGAGGAGGGGAGGACGAGGAGGAGGGAGAGGAGGAGGGGGAGGAGAAGGGGCGAGGGAGCGGGGGAGGGGCCGCCGCGGCGCCGGCCACGGCCACGGCCACCGGCTGCAGCGGCCCAAACCCCAGCCCTCCTCCCCACCGCCGCCCTCCTGGGCACGGCCCTCCGCCCGCAGACCTCCCCGAGATGCCGGGGTGCCGCCCCCGGGGGCGGGGTGAGAGGAAGAGGAAGGGAAGGAGGAAGGGAGGGGGGTGTGTGTTCTTCTTAATCGTGATGCTCGCCACCCGCCCCCGCGTCCGCGCGCAGTCTTAGGAAAGTGCTAGACTCCGCGCCTCACCTGGCCACCTCTGGGAGGCACTCTCACCTACCTCCTTCCATCGGCTCGCACGCCTCTCCTCCGCGGCGCCCGACCATTTTATGGGCAGCAAAACTGAGAGCTGGAAGGCGGAGAGCCGGGAGACGCAGGGCTGGCGAGAGGCAGGCGGAGAGGAGCACGGCAGCGGCTGAGCCTCTTCCTGCCCTGGGCCCGGCGCCAGCGCCCAGCAGCCGCGGGGCTGCGTCCCGCTGGGGCAGCGGGGACGAGCGCAGTCCTCCCCCAGGCCTGCGGGCAGTGAGTCTGGTAGGCTTCCCTTTCTGGGAGAAGAAACACTTCTGTTTGGCTCAGTCATTTACATCTTGGTATTAAGAGTAGCTTTGATTTATTTTCATTTTTAAAACTTTCTATTATGGAATTAAAAATATCAAAAGTAGAGAAGAGTATAATGAGCCCTACAAGTGCTCAGTTCCAGCTTCAAAAATCGTCAGCAATTTTTGCTTCTTCTTTCATCTACTTTCTCTCCCTACAGAGACTAAGGACTTTTTAAAAGCATAGTCCCAATGTCATTATTCCATGTTACAAAATTAAGAATAATTCTCAATATCATCTCATTGTAATGTATTAACAGCTGACAGTGACTCGTTGCACAGGGATTATTTGCCAGGTCCGTGTTTAGCGCTTTTACCTGTGCTGCCCAGCTGTGCAGTGGGCCAAAGCTGTGGGTCGACAGGGTCCTGCAACATTGTTGCTGGCCTGCAGTCACTGAGTGACCGTGAACGCGAGAACACTGGTCCACCAGGGGCCAAACACTGCTTACCCTGTCCCAGCCCTCTGGAAAATTTTGATTGAAGCCCATCCTTCCAGAAAAATGCACACAGAAGCTTGATTTAAATTCTAAGGATTTCAGTTCAATTCTCACAAGCTCTCTGACCCCAAGTGCAGGTTACAAATTACATAGTTAGGTTGGGGTGTCCATAGTCCCCTGGGTGGGGTCCTGAGGTTTCTGCTGGGACTGACCCCTACCAGGAGAGCTTGGAGTCCTGGGGCCTGAGCACAGGAAGAGGAGGAGATTAGAGTGCCTGGCATCACTCTGTATTTAAGTCCTGTGCAGGTGCAGGGTGGAAGTGGGCTCTCCGTTGTACCTTAGAAGAGCAACTTTCTAGGAAACAGAGACTCAGGCAGGCAGTGCCAGCAGCACCCAGACACTCCGCTTATCTAAATTCCCCCAGTGGTAGAGCCTAGGTGTGGCTGTCTGTGAGTGGCTTTGAGAGTAGTGTTAAGAGGTGGCAGGGCAGGCCCTGGACTTAGACTGCCTAGCTTTCAGCCCTAACTTGCTCGCTGTGTGACCTTGGGTGAGTTACTTGGTGTCTCTGTGCCTCAGCTTCCTCATCAGGAAAAAATGAGGTTATGGATAGAACCTGTTTATTAGGGCTGCCAGGGGACATTTATGCATGTGCAGTGTCTGGCGCAGAGAGGCTGGCAAGGTGCTTGGGGCACTTACCTGCTTACGCCCCACCACAGTGATTTAAACTCAGAGGGATCGCTGCTCCAAAGGATTCACAGGCTTACTTTAAGCAGGCAGCAAGGGCCCACGCCTGCTTTCCGTTGCAGTAGCAGCAGACTGTGCAAAAGGAAAAAATGGCTCTTCTCTCTTCGCCAGAGACCTGGGGAGGTGGGTGCACAGGCTTACTGGCAGGCCCCCGTGGAATTCCTAAATACAGTGGGTTCCTTACTGCCATGGCTCCAGGAAATGATCTCTGAGATGCTGAAGGAAGTGTTCATTCTCTGTCCCCCCACCCTGGTCAAACTGATCTCAGTGAATGGAACATTCCCTCTCCTTTCTCCCCAAGCCTCGGCTCTGTAAAGCTGTCCCTGAAAACCTCAGGCAGAGGGAGGTCTGGGTTAGTGATTAGAGCTGTGGGTTGCTGTGTGTGATTTATTGGCCTGTCTTGACTGTAAAGGTACGGAGAGCTGGAATTGTTATCAACCGTTGTTCTCCACAGCATCCTGGCCAGGCCTGGCCCGGCACTGTGCGAGCAGTCTTCATAAAGCCCCACGCACACAATAATAGACCGTGCTCCTGTGGGGCTTCGGCCAGGCCAGGATTTCTATGTGCTGTAGGCGGCCCGGCACCTAGCACAGGTGACTCAAATCTGCTCACCTGCCGGCCCTTCCCTGGGGAGGGGCAGGGCCTGCCTCTGGGCTGAGGTGCCCGGGTCCCCTGAGGATGACACTCTGATTCTGAGTCTTCGTCTCCTGGTTGGTCTACATTCTCATCCCCAGAACGGGCAGCACCGTTGCCAGCCCTGGTGTGCTTCTGGACTTCAGTGGCCTTGTTCTGAGCAGACCCAACCTTTTTCTTCTCTCCACACCTTCTCCTTTCCTTCCTACCTTTCTTTTTTTATTTTCATTTATTTATTTGGAGACAGGGTCTTGCTCTGTCACCCAGGCTGCAGTGCATGGTGTCATCGTAGCTCACTGTAACCTCAAACTTCCATGCTCAAGCAGTCCTCCTGCCTCAGCCTCCCAAAGTGCTAGGACTACACATGTAGGCTGCTGTACCAGGCTCCCTTGTGCCTTCTTCCAACTGCTTTCCCCTTCCCTTGCTTTCAACTCTCATTTCCTTTCTAATCTTATAATATGGATTATATTATGATTTTAAAAGACCATTTGAGGTACTGTGCCTATATCAGGAATGCTGTAGGTGAATAAAAGCAAATCTAAGGCTTTTGTAGAATGAGATGAACAAATGAAATATAGTGTCTGGTTCTACTCATGGGAGAACCATCAAATTGTAGTCCTTCTTACAGAATGGAATATTTTAGGGATACTCAGACCTTATGATTCTTCTTGGGAATAATTTTACCAAAGAGCCCTAGTAATGTGTTAAGATGAAACATAACGAGGAACATTATTAGCATGCGTTTGTTCTTTGCGGACAATCTGACACTCTGCCAGCTCTAAGAGAGAACTCCATAAACTATTAAAATGACAAAGGACTTTAGTCTTGTTGAAGAAATAGAGTTTGGTTTAGCTAAATGGAAGACTGTACAAACGTGGAAAGGATAGCTTGCGGTGACAAATGGATCTGACAGCTATAAAGATCAACTTACAGAAGATTAATAGAAGGGGAGATTTATAATATCTGGGCTTCCAGCTGTTGAGGAATGCTAAACTTATTGACATTGGAGATAAGCTTAGATAAAAGACATTTAGTCCAAATGGAGAGAAAATACTTTAAAATAAGCCTAATGCTAGCAACTAAATTAAGGCAATAAATATATCTGTGGTTCCAGCCCATTTACTATTATAGAGACTACAGATCATTCTAATGAACAGCAGATTATTAACCACAAAGTGCCTATGCATCACAAAGAATTTGAGTCACTCACTCTCCACATCAAAGGAAATCCAACTATCTCCACAACAAGGAAGATTTCAAAACTACTTGGAAACCAAATATATATATATATAATATAAGTATATATTATATACACACACATATATATATTATATATATTTTATTATTATATATATGTATATATATATATATATATATAGAGAGAGAGAGAGAGAGAGAGAGAGAATGTCATAAGGGGTGGTTTTAAAACATCCAGAGGTGGGGTCTGTGGGATGTCTGTCCCCTCCCCTTGATCTGGATGGGCTTGCCCATAGAGAATGGTGGAGGAGTTGATCTGTGCTTTTCTGGGGCTAGATCATAAAATGCATGCAGCCTCCGTCTGGCTCAGTTGGAAGACTTACTCTCCAATATTCCCTCTTAGGAGACACCCACTCAGAACCCAGCCTGGAAGAGGCCCAAGCCACATGGAGAGGTCGCAGAGAGGTGCTCACTCCAGCAGCCCAGCCTCTGAGGCATCTCAGCACAGGCAGCAGATGTATGAATGAAGATGCCTCCCAGTGATGCCAATATCTGCTCTTCAAGTCACCTCCAGCTGTTTGAGCCTTTCCAGCGGAGACCCTAGGCACTGTAGAGAAGACCAGTCATCCCCTTGTGCCCTGTCCATATCCCTGACCCAAAGAGTCTGTGAGCATAAGAAAGTGGTTGTGTAATGCGATTAAGTTTGGGTAATGCAGCAAGGGAAAACAGGAAAGCAAGCAAACAATAAGCAAGCGTATGCCAGATGGGACAGAGTTCTCCTTCGAAAGTTTCAGATCTCAGCAGGGATCAGTGGGCAATAAGCTGAACAAGAAGGTTGGGGTCACACCACACCCCAGGTCTTCCTGGCTGCATGGCCTGGGGGCGGTGATGGTGCTTGTGTCCAGTGTCCCGGTCTATAAAATAAGCATAACAACAACACCTCCTGCACAAGAAAGGTGTGAAGAGTGGATACACGTGGAGCACTTAGCACATGGTGAGCCTTCCACACGTGCCACCCAGTGTTAGTGTCACCCTGCACCAGGCAGGCTTATTCTGTGGCACAATGTGGGAAGAAGGGCTCTTGTACCCAGGCTGTATTACTAGGTGATTGATTTGTGTTTCAAGAAAAGTAGATTCATATAATGGATTTGATTAACAGGCCCATGGCTTTATAATGAGTTCACAAGTGCTCTTTTCAATCAGAGTTTGACAATCTTTTCTGGACTGTCTCTTGCACTAAGACATACATTTCACATGGTGACCCATGCACACA